AAGGATCCTTTTTACGCTTGCAGTGCTAAGTAAAAATACTCGAGCTGTTGCCAAAGATAGTGAATAGACCAATATTAAAAATCATGCAGTTTTGACAGTTTCAGACGCAATGGCTTTGATAAACTAACAAAAATATTGTAATGAGATGATCTAAGAGATCTACATCCATAAAATATTGTGATATAATGGAATAATATAAAGGTCTTCATTTTTAAAACAGATTAATATTTTTTTGTGCTCGTTTAACTTTTTATCAATAATATTATTTTATTAATAGCAACCAATTAATGGATTTCTTTAAAAATCACCTATTAGCATAAGAAGCTTGTTTGACCAAAATAGGTATTTGCTAAAAATCTTTATTATTATAAAAGAATATATATTCTATTAAGCTTCTACCAACTAAAATATATCTTATATATTGCCTAGGACTATAATAAGGCAACTATGTTTCTAAAATTCGATAAAATAACACATTACTTACTTCCACGGTGTCTATGAAAACAACACTTTTTAGGCAAAATTCGAGATTATTTAGAAATATACTCTTTCTTTCTTTCTAATATTTCAGTGCCTTATAGAGCAATTTGTTTTTATCATTTTATATATTTTCGGAGTATACTAAAAAAATTTTTGCTTTCTTAAATTAATAGATAAATTTAATACTGTGCACATCTCAAAATATGAAGGACAAAATATAACTAGCTTTAGGTGTGTTTTTTCGATGACTATCCACTTAATTGCCCGTCGATTAACCTCTTGATTGTAGGGATGGCTCTATGTTTTATTCATTGTTTCACACCATATTGTAAGGTTTTTTTATTGTACTAAAATGTTCCAAACAGCACTTAGATCTGTGTGGGATACGTTCTTGTTTAGAGTTTGCTGTGACCAAATGCAATTTTTATTTCGAACTAGACCTCAAATCACGAAATGTCTATACCTAGACTTTATCAAATGTTCTCGCAAATGGATTCGTACATTTTTTTGATATTGTCTGAAACAACCAGAAAATTTAGGCGTTACTAGAACCACTATAACTGAACCATTTAACATCAGATTATCATGAAGTTTTATCAAATACTGTTTTAAGATTGTCAGATAGATAGATATATGCCATCCTACAAACTTATTGTAAATCACTTTAAATTAAGGTATATTTATTCGGGGCCTCCCAACAACCATATGAAATTATTGTTTGATTTCCAAAAGGGAAACAATAGGTTTATATTAATTATATATTATTTATAGTAAAAAATTTAATTCGAACTATTATTAGCATAAATAGCTGTATTTATGAATTTTGTGTAAGAAACCCAATGTTTTAACGTTTAATTAATTAATAAAAACCCCTGTCACTTAATTTTAGCACAATTAAAATTATTAATTCCCTTTGTAACTGAGTTCTAAGCTGATATGAATTAAAATTTTATTAAAATATTAATGTTAAATAAAATTACATTTTATTTTACTAATGAATTTTAAATTTATTTATGTTTTACAAACATAATGATGCGCCTTTAATATTCCTATAGAATATGTTTTGCATAAATCATATTTTTGGTAATTTATTTTTTTCTGTTTATACCGAATCATATATCTATTTTATATCTGTCGTTTGACATCTTTTCTAATAAAAATCTACAATAAATTTTAATTTTACAATGCTTTATAATTTTTAATATTCGGTCCTTTTAAAGGACATAATCAAAATAGCTTTGGTCACCATATCAGAAATGTCGAAGCAATTTCCTTTCTGAAGTTAAAATAAATCCCACCGAATGACGAAGGAAAAGTTGTAAAACTTATTTAAACAAAAAAGAAAAAAACAACAAATATTAAAACAAAGCAGAAAGGTACATAATGTTTATATAATCCTTATGTAAGTACCCGTATTAAGTCCCGAAAAAAGTATGAAAAAGCAAAAAAAAATACTCGCAAAGTTCCCACCACTCCCACAAATATTTGAAGTTGTTAACAATATTGAAACGCATTAAAAAATTATTGCGAGGATTTGTAGGGAAATCAGATCTCGTATCTCATATTCCGTTTTACATAATTTTTAACAATTTTAAGCTTCTCTTTCATAAATAAATATCATATTTATTATTTACAAATATATATTTTACATTTGCGTATTATCGGTAATACAATTAAATTTATTTGGCATTAAAGTGTTCATTTCTGTCAACAAATTTTATTGTCAACATAAAATGTAAAGCCATTTAAATCAATTTCATTTTGGATTATTGTTTAAAATATATTTTTATGAAATATTCTTAATCCTTTAACAGGATATATGTGTATTTTAATAAAGAGTCTTTCAAGTATAATAACCAATTAAGTATTAAATAAAAGTATATTTAATGGATAAAAAAACGTAAACGATTAAAGTTATTTGGATAATTTTTTTTTAGTTTTAGTTAATTTGACCCCCTGTACCCAATTAAAGTTTAAAAACAGAAACTCTGGCCAATATAATATTCTTCGTTTATTAAATCAGGGAATGACTTTCCAAAGTCAAAGAACTGCACAGCACTGTATATACTTTTATAGACTGAAATATGTTTTTATTTAAAATAAAGTAGAGAAACAACTTAGACTTTTAACAGAATAATTAATTCTCTCACAAAAAGAATGTTTCAATATAAAAGTAATTTTTTGACGTAATGTAATAAACCAATTAGTCGTTACGTAGTCCTATTTTTAAGTAACATATTCGTATCATTTTTCATTATTAACTTTATCTTAATTGATAACTTAATTTTATTTAATTTAATATTTTTTAAATAAATGTTTTTTAATATCCTCTCTAAGCAATACTAAATTAGTGAATCAATTTCAAAATGCCATTTTTTAATTTCTACTCTACATATACGAATACCTACACCTAGAATCGAATATCTCTTAGTAACTGAAGCGATCTTAATTGTGGCTTTGTCCTAAAATAAAATTATGAACTGAATCAATGATTTAGAATATTCTTCAACCACAAAATCGAATCACTTAAGAAACTAATCCGGTTAATGGACCTAATTTATAATGCCATTACTATTTGACATAATATAAATAAACGATATCGAGTTTAGTATAAACAATATTTTCCCACAAATGATGCGTAAGCTTATGTTATACAAAATGCAAGTTTTTATTAAGAGTTTTTTATAAATATGATCATCGATTCCTACAAAACGTATAAGGTATCATACCTCATTTACTCATACCATGCCTTATTAACAATTCTTTCTCTTACTTTTTTACTTTTCCTTAACTCCACTTTTACTAGAGGATAATTTTACTTAATTCCAAAAATCAATTTTAAGTCATTAAGTTTTGCATATTTTTATTGTATTTTTACTTTCCATATTTCAAATACAATTAGTAATGTTGGTGATACCGAACTACGTATTTATAATTATATAAATAAAATCGAACCAAATAGAATCGAATGATATTAAGGTCGTGTGCGAGTTAGGCTAAGTTGCGTTCTAAATGAGGGAAATTCTAAGTTGTGCCGATAATGTAGTGATGTGTCGATACGTGTTGATAAATGGCTAAATGTGTGCAGTGCAAAAAATCCCAAAAAATCTCCCATTTGGTTTAGCATCAACTTAGCCTAACTCGCACACGTCCTAAGACTAGTTTGTCTTCGATTGAGGATTTGCTGATATTTCCCAAACAAAAATATAAACATTGACTTACATAGTAACATTCTATATACATACAACTCTGTCACATGATATAATAGGATTGTTTTATGAACTTCCTTCCTCCTACATACAAAATTAGCTCACTTCAAAACGATTGCCGTGATTTCGACCCTCAACAATATTTTTAATTATCTTGAAAAGTGTCTTAATATCTTCACTTCATATCCAAATATGAAATTTTCTTTTCTTTATACAACTATGAGGGTATTAATTTTTTTAACCTGACAAATCTGTCTAGTTCACAGAATAAGGAGGTAAATATTTAGTTAATATTATATTTTCAATATTACCTGTACGTTGCGTAAATTAGAGGTGTTAAATCCAAATTCAATGAAGAGTACCCAACTTATTAAGTGCAATGGACATGACTACTAAAGCATACTAACAAAAACTAAATATGACATCTATAATTTTTTTATTTATCACTATTGGATGTTACTATCTTATAATGAAGAGTTCTATTTAAGTTTATAATTAACCACACCATACTTACATCGTTTAACTTAAAATCTCTACTTTATTTAAATCAACTAAAAATAAAAAAATTGTTTCAGAATCAAAGATCTAAATACTTAGAATTTATTTTATTTTCGAATAAGACTAAATACAAATTGCTTTAAATTCCAAATGCTGTTGTGAATTTGTGGGATGTGCCTATTCCGCAGATTTTGCCTTATCCGTTCTTATTTTCTTTAATATTAAAATGGTTTCTTGCCTCTGCAGACAAGCAGATTCATTAAAACAGAAGACGATGAATATTTAAGGTTTATTTATTTTCTTGAAATGAATTTCTCGAATAAATTCTGTACTCTTGGCGGTTAGTTTTGACCCAAAAAGTAAGAGTTGTCAGTAGCAGTTGTGAACAATGAAACGCAGTTGAAGGATTTTCAAACATTGTTTGAAAAGTCACTAGATTTTTTCAGGTTACACACCAAAATCCAAACGAAGTGGCATATTTGTGGAAGTGACAAAATTTGTAAGTTTTTCTTTCTCAATTCTCATGAAACTTTCGCTACCGTCGGCATTTGCTGAAAACAAAATAAAACAACTTTACATAGTAAATATTTGGAATTTCAGACATATTTTTTAATAAAAACTTCTTTAAAGTAGGTTAACTAATTTGAAAGCTTTGAATAGTTTACCTAAATCTTCTTCTGCTTTTGATACAAAAGTTTTGATTTATTTAAGAAATGTGCAAATCTGCATACTGCAGAAACTTTTTATTCAAATATTTTTAAAGTGTATAAATTTACTGATCTTTTTATTTTTCTTATTTTTTAATTTTAGTGTATGAAAGCTTACATCGAGTACGAAATTTCTGAAGGCGCTTATGAGATCTCATGCCCTGACGCCCAATGTCCAGAGCAGGGTATCATAACATTAGCTGAAATTGCAAATCTAACTACTGCAAACCTTATGAAGAGACATCATCGTTACCGTCTGAACAGAGGTAAGCCACATAAAGATACATTTATTATAACGAAATTGTCAATAACACTTTGTCTTATTTCCAGAAATTGAGTTAGACAAATCACGTACTTGGTGTCCTCGCGCCGGTTGCGAGACCGTATGTCTTGTTGGGCCGAGCCCACAAAATGACGCAGCACCTTCCACATCAACATCACAAATTGCTGCTACGAGTCCTGATACTGATGGTTTATCGCCACATTTATGTGCTGTACAATGCCCTACATGCAAGGATATTTTTTGTTCATCGTGCAAGAAAACTGTATGTCATTATCTTACTGATCTTAAACCATTATAATAATTGTTTTATTTTCTTTAATCTATAGTGGCATCCTAGTATCACTTGCGAAGAGCATAGTAGACGGCTGGTTGCAGATGGTCAGGATGATATTGGTATACCTTTTGATAATGACTTAATCAAGTGCTGTCCTATGTGCGCAGTTCCCATTGAAAAAGACGAAGGTTGTGCTCAAATGATGTGTAAACGCTGCAAGCATGTTTTCTGTTGGTATTGTTTGGCTAGTTTGGATGTAAGTTACTGAGAGATTGTATTCTTATACTAATATATCTAAAAAGATTTACAAATATGATAATATTGTTTAAATGTGTATATGTTGGTGTGGTATATAGGTTTATCAATTTCGTAGTTGTAATTTGACAAAACTGCTTAGTGACATATGATAAATACGTATAATTGTTATGCAGAACAGCATGCATTTAGAGTAAAATTAAAAATTTTTTAATTTGAATCATTTAGCAATGGCTAAACATGTTAAGATTTTAAAAACTTGTAACACATATGTGCACGATTCCCCGGACGCTCCTATTTAACAACGGATTGTATCAGATTCAATTATTGGTACGGCAGTTCAAGTAACCACCAGGCTTATGGCTTATCCTTACAACTACGGTTGCTCACGGTTCCTTCTCGATAGAACAAATTCTGAGATTGTTGATAGTTATCTGGCGAATCGGTTGCCAACACAAAAGATTTATGATAACCGCAATGCTTAGCACCATTACAATCTAATTATATCTATTTTATTCTATTATTTATACATAATATAATTTTAAATGTTTTTTTAAAGATTTTGACAGCTGAATTTAGTAGCTTCCTTCCCCAGCAATAATCATTCATCACAGATTTTAAATAGCAATAATTATTTCGTTTGCTGTCAAATGACAAACAATATTGTTCATCTTTACTATTTCTTTACCTACATAAAGTTAAGCTCAAGCAATTTATGGTGCTATATCTGTAGACGTTAAGTTTAAGACGTTAAGTCTTATTTGAAGCCAAGTATGCATTGCAAAGCGGTTATCAACAAGTTTCTATCTAAAATCTGTAGGAATGAAAGATGCTTTCTCGATACAGTGAGAAGTATCCTTGCGTAATTGAGGTCAGCGTGTAGTTACGAAAAAATCAGGACACAGTTACTTGTCAAGTATAAACAAGACTATTTCCAAAATGTGTCCAAACATGTCCTCATCATGATATCGCCAAACATGTTGACTTACATATTAATTAACGCCCAATTAATTTACAACTCTGACCTCTTTAAGTGGCAGAATTCATTCGTTGTGTGCCAGGTTTGTTTAAATTAGCATTATCTATACCCACATTTCTTCTACCAGGATGCTACAGAGCTGAAAATTTCCTCACCCTAATTTTAATTAGGGTGAGGATGCTCCTAATTTTATGTTTTCTAAATTTTCGATTACATCTATCATGATTTTATTCTTTTGTATGGTGAGTTACTTCTGCATGTGAGTTTTGATTTTAATGAAACCACCATTAATTTAATAATCGTGCTATTTATCTCCTCCCACGAGGCATCAAAACATCCCTTTCTTAGATCATGTTAAATGGCACGACTACGATTAAGACTACGATTACACAACAACAAAATTCTCGAATGGCATTCGCTTTATATTTCCTGGGAAGAATGACACTTTTCTTATACAACAAAACAACAAGTGTCGCAACTGCATTTTTACTTCCCAATATGCCGCCCATCTGTTCTCATGTTCCAATGCACACACGAATTTGAGACTTATTAATCTTTCGTTCCACCCCATTAAAATTGTGAGGTGTCCGCTTTGATCCGGAGTAGTTTCAATTAAATCGCCCCTATTCCTCACTTATTCTTTATCCCAAACACCTTTTTTGCCAAACTTACCTCCCCTACCTTATCTATATCCTAACCTATATGTTCGTATTTTTTAATTCCTTCCATCTCTTCTCGGACAACAACGTTTGTAACAATATCGCACCATAAGATTTCAGTCTAATTATTTTACAAAATTAACGATCTAAAATTGAAAACTTATATATTATAAATATGTTTTGCTGAATTAAAATGTTTTTTTTCGTTTGTAGGATGATTTCCTTCTGCGTCACTACGATAAAGGACCTTGCAAAAATAAACTTGGACATTCCCGAGCTTCTGTGGTGTGGCATAGAGCTCAAGTAATTGGCATTTTTGCTGGTTTCGGTATTTTATTACTTGTCGCATCGCCACTATTGCTGCTGGCAGCACCCTGTATTATATGCTGTAAATGTCGTAGCTGCAGTGGTTCTAAAACCGATGAAGGGGATGGCGAAGTAGAAGAGGGCGCAGTTCTACAAAGGTAATAACGATTAGTACAATTATATGCGTATAAAATCAAACTAAATAATATTATTTATTTCGTTTCAGTTAAAAATCCTTGGAGTTCGTAAATATGTACATAAAATAGTTTAAAGGATACACATTTTTTGCTTCTGAAATCTAAACGCAATCTTGTTTCACACAATCTTTATTTCTAATTATGTATTCATTTAAAATTACGAACAATGCATATTTTATTTTGGTTTTATACATAAAACTACTTTAAATTAATTATAAATTTACAAGTTAATAAATCTGATTTGTTTTACTAGACGCGTAGAGTACACATCCAATCGTGTACGTAACACTAAAAATGTATTAAAAATTGTACGTATATATTTAAAAAAAATTATTATGTGTTAACTAAATTGTGATATTTACAGTGATTCGATTAACTTTATAATATATAAAATCGATAACTTTAAACAATTAAATTTATGTTTTATTTTTGTTTCTCATTTGTAAACTATTTAATTGCATTAGTACTAATATATTTTGTACATTTCCGTGTACGTTCAATTTAGTTTTTAATTTAAGAAAAATGTTCACTTAAGAATATTTATTATAAATTTTAAAATTTTAAAATTTTATGCGTTTTAATTAGTTTTAAAGATCTTACTTTGTAATTAAAATTAATTAGTCTAAGATTGATATGCTCTAAAGTATTATCTTTGCGTACATATGTTTGTTAATGAACATAGACGATAACTTAAAGAAGTATGTGCTCTATTACATATGTAAAATATAAATGCTTTTATTTACATAATATATCATCTGAATGTAGTTATAATAACGAAATGAACATGTAATGCATAATGTTAAATACTAAATAAAATATTAAAGTTTATTATTCAAATATATATATATATATTAGATTTTGTAGTTAGTCACGCGTATTTACACACTTTATTGTAATTAAATTGTACTATATTTAATAAGTTTAGCTATTTAATATATTTACTACAATTCGACATAGTTTTGTTTTTATTGTAATAAAGTCAAACAATTGAAGAATTCTATAACCGATACGATACTTATTAATCTTGAAATTATATTATTAAAATCTTGTCATTTTAATTGCAGATAATTGAATATTTGAAGTAAGAATATTGTGACAAAATGTATTCTATAAATAAATATACTTAAAATCAAAATAAAAATGTTAAAAACAATATATGATAACATTTTTTAATTTTAATATAGAGGAGGGAAGAATTATTTTAAAATAATATTTATTTTTAACAGTAGTGAACAAAATTATAATTTTTAATTGTATATTTTACTGACCAAAGAACATATTGATTTAAAAAATAGTTTCTGTTTTCTTTGACTTTAAAATTAAATTTAAATTAAAATTTGTTGTTAAAGCTTTCTGTGAGGTTTTTTTCCTATTAACGTAAACAATATAAACAAAAGTGAACTCGTAACTATTCTAATTTAAATTAGAATTATTATAAGAAATAAGGAAAAGAAAATACTATTCGGAATTCCAACTCGGTTTATAGGGCGTAGAAACACATTAACATGACTTCTTTAAAATGGATTCCCTAATAAAGGACTATACACAAAATACCATAGAAAAAATTAAAAATGAACAATAAAAAATGTCTGTTGAATAAGAAAAGTACTAGTGTTTATAATTTGACAGATTCCAAGTTCTAAGTCTAACAGCTATTGTCCAGCAATTATAAATGAACTTATAAAACCAATGAATATTTTTAAAGACCGTTAGTCAGGTGATGATGAGTATTAAAGAATACTCGAAACGGTTATATAGTCGTCAAAAGAATTTAATTATAATTACAAATAAAATTTTACTGTTGTGAATAACTTACCATCAAAAGTCTTTGTATTTAAACAATAGTTACTTTCGTCATAATTAAAAATTAAATTTAAATGTTTTTTTTTTTTTTTGAAATGTAGATTATACTTTTACTCGTATTATCTGCTCTTGCTTCTGCGATTGTCAAAACACGTATCCAGTATACCCATACGACTTTCATTAAGACGAATGAGATGTGGGATCACGAACTAAGAGATACTATATGGTTATTCAATAGCATTAAAAAGTCCGAATTAGCAGATGAGATACTTTTCAGGGATAATAGAATAGATGTCATAAGTTTTAATATCATTATCCCTCTTCTCCACTTAGTATGTTTGCTATCGATTAAGATAAAAAGTAAGTGAAATCAAAAAATCTGCAGTGATATAAATAGCATAATACTTTCCAAATTTTATTCATTCTGGTTAATTCAATTGATTGCAGTGGGTAGATATACCTTTGCTTACCGCATAATTAGCAATTATTCAGAGTTTTAATACCACATTCTTTACAAAAGACTTCTGTAGATTTAACTAGCTGAGTTTATGTAATTTAACGTTGGTTTTGGTCTATCGATGAGCACTCCGATACACTGTCAAAAAAATTCTTTCTTAAAAGCCTTTGCCTTCTAACTCCTAATTGTTTTGTCCTTAAATTTCCTTAAATTCTACAATGAGTATATTCTAAAGTATAAAATATTTTAAGTTATACGTAATTTTTTCATGTAGGTTGTAATACATCAATGACCTGAAAGATCTATCAGTCTATCAGTATGGACTTAATCCCTCTCAATAAGTTCCGCGCACCTAGCATTAATGTATGCACGCCGGGATATACTGTACATGTTGCGAATGACTGGCACCTATTGTAAGTTAGCTGCAGAAATTAGAGATAGATGCCTATCTTAACGATATCTACGGAAACAAAAACCAATACCACTTAAAAAGCTTCTATATAATCACAAAAGAGTGCTAAACTTCCTACTTTATCATTATCTTGAATGTTCTTATAATCGAATACATGTTTTTTTTCTATTAAAAATTTCTATTAACAATTTTTTGATTTTTCTTTTTTTCGTTATTTTCCAAGTACCATTAAAAACCACAGTGTGTTACAAGTATTACTGGGATAATGAATAATACTAAAGCAATTATTAAAAAATTTTTTAATAAAAAAAAAGTGGATGAAGTAATGAAATTAATTTTATTTAATCAGCATGTTTACAAAATTTCTTATTTTATAATTTTGACCTAAATTATTTTTGTTTAAGTTTAAATTTTGTTTTATAAATAATTTAACAGTTATTTCAAATGACGAGTATTTTCCACATATTTAAAAAAGCTTATAATTTGTTTTTTAGTTGTATTTTATTGAAGAATCTGAAAAATTACATGTGTTTTGTTATGTTTAAATTAATTTCAAAATTTATTATTTTAGATAATTAAATTTTAGATAATATTAAAAATATTCATAAATTGTAATATTAAGTTTTAAATTTACTTTTAAGTTTAATTTTGAATAAATTTAGAAAACATTGAACAGTAACCCATTGTAATATTTACATTTTCATAAATAAATCTTTCCTTTCTACTATTGCGCTCCGAAAAAATTTTTTTAAAATGAATCAATCAGTGTAGTCCTCGGAAGTCGGAATCAAAAAATCCATATGAAAATAAATTTTTAACTCCAGTTATTGTAAATATACACCATAATGCAGTTAATATATTAAATAAATTGTCAGACATCTTTCTAATTCTTGATAAGCGGTGTAAGGACGGAAATTTACAACAAATTTTCGCATACATAAAAAATGACTATATTTAAACATTACATACTTAATATAGCACGTACTGGGAATGAATGTTGCAAATGTCTGAAATTAAAATAGATAAGGATAGGATAGGATAGAAATAAACGATGCGGAGCACTGCGACCATGATTGACACTTCGTTTGACACTTGCGAATTTTATATAGATTCCCCAATGCCTCTGGTGTATAGAGTGGGATTCAATACCTCTTCTCTAATTACGTTAATAAATGTGGGTTTGTTACCTTTATTAGCTATAATTAATCCAAGACACATAATATATTCTAATTAGCTGCCGCCCAGTAGACTTGAAATTAGCTGTTGGATTTTCTATGGTGGAACAGTTTCTTCTTCACCTGGGAAGTAGGCAGAGGCCATGACTATCCTATTGTTGAAACTTCAACTAGAACCGCTGCTAGGTCTCTAGAAATAAAGTTAGTTAACGGAAGATGTTTTACGTCTCCACAGATTATGATAGCTGCACGTGGCACTACTATCGATCGGTCATACACCAGCTTACCTGATTTTGAGTTTAGTCCCCGAAAAAACCCACCCTAGCACGAGAATAATTGCAGCACGCACTCGCAGTCCATCCAAGTCATCTGCAATTACATTGAAATAAAATATAATTAAATAAATGAATAATATCATAATAAATAAAATAAATAATAAAAATCACCAGCAACTGAATGAAAGGCAAAGTATGCTGGTGGGAATGAAAACAAAACAGTGAAACAAGAATTGTCAAAATATTCGCCGTAAGAGAAATTCGAAGAAAAGATCAAAGAAAGCTAATATAGAATATATTATTAGAATATAGAATATTATTATAAAATATATTATTATTATAATATATATTATATCGCAGAATATATACAAAGAATATTTCTACATTTAGCATTATCTATGAAAAACCTAGTTATATCATTGTGATTCATTGTATTCCGTCTACCGTAAATGATATAAACTTGCAGAATATATATATCAAGAAACATCAATACAAATCATATACATAAATACATAAAGAACATTCTTCCTTCAGAAAACACCTAAGTCAAGCGAAGGAAATCATTACGTTCGATCGCATGACGGCTCTTGAGTACGAATAGTTCATGCATTTGGTTATTCATACGAATAGAACAAACTCTAAAGACATCCAGTTGAATCTGCAGACCAATGAAAGTTTGAACCAATATATACATAGCTCGGGATCACTTGGAAGAGACGACCATCGTTTTTTAATTTATACATTCATGTAATCATTTATTTATAAAAATAAGCTTAACTCTTCATAATATTTATTGACCACTCAACATTATTTAATTGTTATAAATCATAAACTACAAAAGATAATATAAAACAAAAGCGAGTCACTGAATATTTTGGTTAAAAATTTTATTGTAACGATCCTCGAGAAGCGGAAGATATCCCAGCAAATAGAAACGACCTCGAGAAAGTGTCGTTATAGAGCCTATTAAATTTGTCGTCTGCATGGGTTAAGCCTAATAGGGACGCAAATTTGCACAAAATTCCTTCTTTCATAAACATCACAGTAAATTACGTTTAACACTAAAACAAAATATCCACTCACGTACAATTGAAGATTTGTTCAAAATTCTTAATTGTTGTTTTGTTCTCAAATTAAATAAATTAATTTGTATTTAATAAATTTATTATAAGTAACTCACCGAAAATCGCTCCGCAGCTATGTAATTGTACCAGTTTAAAATAATCTGAAATTTAGTTAAACAAAATTGTTAATAAAGAAATATATTTAAACAAATAAATAATATATATACCTTTTTTTATATTTATTTCTATTAATGCGTAATATTTATTTTATTTATTATTGTAAAATAAATTTTAGAACTACCGCCGAAAAGTCACAGCATAAAAAAAGCGTCAAACGTCAAAGTTTTCGCCGTAACAGGTATGTTGTGATGTTGCAGTCACTTCTCGAATGGTAAATAACGGTCAGCGTTGTAATATTTTAGTACTATTTTACTAATATTTTGATAAACATTTATTAGGTTATTTGTATTTTGATTCTTAATATATAAATAAGTGTTAATTTAAAATATAATAGAAAGTGTGGAAACGAGTTATATCGATGTGTGTATATTATATTTTTATTATATGTATATAAATTCTTAAAAATTTGAACATCTATATAAAAAACGTTATATATTGGTGAGAAATACTTAAGATGAAAATTCAAAACAGTTTAAATTTCCTTCGAAAACTTGAACAACATAAAAAATACATAAAATACAAATGTGAATAAAAATACATAGAGAATCGTTTGATTTTATTGACAACAAACTTCAAAGTAATGACCGCGACCATATAAAGACCATGTAAAACCATTGACCATATAAAAATTAATTTTTTATTTTTAAAAATGACGGTTCCTTCGAAATACTATTGGTGTTCGTGAAGAAAGATTTGCAAAAAATTACCTGCAAGCTGTAGCACTGAAATATTGAAATAAAATAGCTTCAAAATATTAAAATACAAATTAAGAATATCGCATTCATACTAAGTATATTGTATACATAAACTTATAATACAATATGGGAAAACACGAAGCATCTGTATGTAAAGGTAAATTAAGTATTCGTTTTGATGACACAAATTTTATAACAATTAAATTAATTTACATCAAGTAACATTTACTTACTTACGGTTTATTTAGTTTATAATTAATTAATAATAACATGTTTAACGAAGCATTTGTACTCTCAAACGTATCAATTATAAAGATACCTCACTTTCTGAGTGAGGTTTCACAAAAACACAAATTTTCTCTGTGTCAAATACAAAATGTTGCCGTTACATGGATTACTGTAATTAAGATTATCTAGAAAAGAAATAAATTAGTATCACATCAAAAATTCCACTACATACCAGGTAATAACCTGGTATTATTATTATAGTTATTAAGGCCGTGTGCGAGTTCGAGTAAATTGATAGTAAATTGAGTGAATTAGTAAACTATGTCGGTATGGCTGCGAATGTTGGTATTTACCAGAATTTCGAGTAGTGTAACTTAGATAAAAATTATGTAAATTAGGCGTTACCATTGTGAATATTTTATAAGATGTTTAATAAATAAATAAACAAATTTGAAAACTTTTGACCAAAAATAATAATTAAGTGCAATAAATAAATAAATAAATATTTACATAAGTACAGTGCAAAAAATCTCTAGGAAATTTTTATTTACTTTACCTCAATTTACTCCCACTCCAACTCGCACATTAACATTTTATGTTAATAGACAATTTCGAAAATTCTATTTTACATGAAAAGCATCCACGTGTGCTCAGGATTGGGAAGTAACAAATAAAATATATATATGTAGGTTATCCCAAACAACCTTTCAAGTTTAAGATATTTAATTTACTGTAGTAAATCGGACTTTAAATTATGGCGCTAATAATTGTATTAGTTAAATAACTTAGAAAAAATTTAAGTTTCAATTAAGTTGATTAAATAATATCATTTAAAAACATTATGCTTAAATCAATGTTACAATCAATGTTGTTACAGTATCCCTTGCTACCCAATTTGAATATTTGGTTAGTACATGATACACTTCCTTTTTACATTATTTATCGCCTCTTTTTTTCTCATTATTATTATATGCTTTTATAATGTTAAAATGTACTTATTTTATTAAATAATGCCGTGTTTACATTACGAACTTTCGTTAACGAACTTTGCTAAAGTTGATTTAATATTAAATTATCGTTTCGGGTTTTCATTTCGATAAAAGTCACATATTTTAACATATTGTTGAGCAATTAGCTGTAAACATTATTATGAAAATCTTGTTTGTTACTTATAAATAAATATTGAAAAACTTGTTTTTTAAGAAAATTAACTGAATAAAAATGCAGATTATTTATAGAATTTTGAAGTCTTTCGATTGGTATATAACATTAGATCTCTGATGCGTATTTTTCAAATGATACAAAAAAGTAATTAGCAAAAAAGTTTATTTTTAGAAAAATCTAGAAATGGTAACAATTTGTACGCAAATATTTCTAATACAGGAATAATTAAAGCAATAAAAAACACAAACTAGAGTAGTACACTTTTGTGAAATTTAAAGTCAAAGCTTATAAATTCGGCAATATTTCAACTCAAATATCTCCGAAAAAGTTTAACACATAAATCATTTTTTAAAATTTATTTAAATAACAACCCAGCTTTCCATTGAAATATTGCTAACTTGGCACTAGCAACATATTAGGTCTGTTCCACGAGCTACTCATAGTAACTTTGAGTACACACTGTGTATACACAAGCGCGTTCTACAAGCAAATTTTCAAGTATTTTTGTGTAAATTTTACTTCTGTTTTACTCATTTTTTACTATGAGTAGCTCATGGAACAGATCTATTATTTTAAAAATCTACCAATTTGCCATTTTTGTACAAAAAACTTATCGATAACGCATTAAATTTAGCACTGTATTCTGAAAAAGGTATTAAATGAATTAAACTTTCAGTTAAAGTTCGAAGTTTGTTGATCCTATTTATAATGGGTGCTGTTTTGCGCTCAAAGTCGATTTCCAACAGAAAATCTTGTAATGTAAACCCCGTATAAAATAGATAAAATAGCAACTAGGAAGTTGCACAATTTTCTACAATAAATTTTATAGCAACTACTTCAACTACTTCAGCTACTAATTACTTTCAGTAACACCCCTGTTTTCATTTGCTTTCATTTTGAAAGTTATGTTGGCTCTGTTTTGAAGTCAGCTGTTTTTGACTTTTGGGTTTGTGGAATCTAATTTATTGCAGATAAGCGAGCTGTTAAAGTTTGTTTATTGTTTAAACTGTTTCACATTAAACTTGTAAAGAATAAAATTAATTTTTTTTACGTTTCCTATAAGTAATTATTAAGTTATCTATTTTGTGAACAAGATGGAAGGACAAGCGTGCCCACGTTGTAAAACAACAAAATACCGGAATCCTTCTTTGAAGCTTATGGTCAATGTGTGTGGACACACATTATGCGAATCTTGCGTAGACTTGCTCTTTTTAAAAGGGTCTGGCTCATGCCCAGAATGTATGGTACCATTAAGACGTAACAATTTCAGAATACAGCTCTTCGAAGACCCGCAGGTAGAAAAAGAAGTTGATATACGAAGACGTATACTACGTGATTACAATAAGAGAGAAGATGACTTCGAAACTCTAGATGATTATAACGATTATTTGGAAGAAATTGAAAATATTATATATAATCTTGCTAACAATATTGATATAATTAATACAAATAAGCGCATCGAAACATATAAACGTGAAAATAGGGAAATAATACAACGAAATAAAACACGTGTTGGTCGTGAGGAAATAGAATTGACGGAGTTGATTGAAATTGAACGCGTCCAGGAAGAGACGAGACGACAGGAATTAGTTGCGCTTGAAGCTGAGCAAAAAAAGAAGAAAGTCCGTGATAAGGAGGCAATGATAGACGAGCTTATGTTTAGCGGTAAGAATGCAACGGAAATTGTAAATGAATATGCGGAAAAAGCAGAAAAATTACGAGAAGAGCAAAAAAAGGTTCCACCTCCTGTACAATTTTCTAGTGGTGTAAAGTTCGGTCGTGACAAAGATCAAGTTTATTTGCCAGTTCCAAAAGCCGAAGAGGGTCCTTTATACGTTCATGTTTTACCAAAGTTATATATGCTCGGTCCAACTCCTCCAACAGCTGATGATATACAAAAAAAGAATTACTTAGCTCATATACGCCAGGAAACTACGGCAGAACGCGCAGGTGGTTATCGTGCTAACATGGCTTGCCAACGGGCGCTACAGGAAGCTTATATGGGGTTGTACTTCAGTAGTGCAGATATGTAATATAAAATCTAAAGATTCCTAATGCTTTAATGTATTTATGCAGTTCATAATTAAGAAATTTAAGTATTTTAAATAAAAATAATTGTAAGCGCTAAACTTTTGTGATATTAATTGTTAAATTTAATCAAATTATTTCTATTCGATTACATATTATGGAATATTTTAACTTCATAGCAACAAATTTATACTGAACCACCTTGTATTACCAAAACAAACTGTAAATCAATTAATGTTGTTGCTGTTATGGCTTGCGTTGGAAGAGGTGAGCGTTTCTTTGACATTTGAAAATACAAGTTGGTTCGAGAAGTAAACCCAAGCGTTCCTGAAAGAAACTTGGTTATCCGTGGTCATCGAATATCACAAATTTAATATTAATCGAAAGACGCTACGTTATCATATATGTAAAATATATTTATTCTATATTAAAACAGCATTTAATATATATATATTAAATGCTGAATTATTGTCAGTTTTGAAATTCCAAAAGAGTTATACATTTTTACTAATTGCTATTGCTTGCTTAATTTTGAAAAGACATTCATAAAACTAAGGATAATATCAAATATCATCTATAAATCCAAACTGCACAGAAAAACTATGTTAAGGAATGCCATAAAATATTATTACCTAAGTTTTGAGTTCAGGATTGTGTTCAGGCTAATAATTAAGTTAATTTTAAAAGTAGATAACCTAATGCATTAACCCTGCTATAACTATTTTTTTATACTCTCAAAAATATATATCCATATTTTTCGATAATAATAATTCATGAAAAGTATTATTATTAGAAAATTTGTTAGAAAATTATCATCATTTAAACATTCCTTAATAGTCAAATTGCGCTTTAACCCACATAACCATGGTTAAAATGATGTAGGCAACTCTTGAATCAGGAACATATAAACCGCAAGAACTTTATATAGGAATGACCAAATTACTAGGAAGGGGACTTGTTAACAAGAGTTTTGAAGTATTGCAACGGACGTTCATATATTAATAAGGACACTGATGTAACGCCGGTGTCACAGGCGATTATATATATCCTAACAGACTGCTTTACCATTGAACCTATCCTCTTTATAACAGGCCTGACGTAACGCAACGAACCTATCGGCGGTTATATGCATCCGATATACTGATTTAACCTAAACATCTTAATAAGAATCCTTATGTAACACAACGAACTTATAGCCGGTTAAGTGGAACCTGATATATTTATTGATTCCCATATTTAACATCTTAACGAAAGCCTTGACATTACTTAACAGAGTCATTACTTTATGTGAAATTTGATATGCCTATTTAGCCTTAAACCTAACATCTCAATAAGAGTACTGATATAACGCAATAGTATCTCTGATGTAACGTAGCAGGAGTTCTGATGATTTACTTCAAGGCTGTCCAGAGCAGATGCGATCGCGGACCAATACAAACACTGTACAGATTGAAGGGCCGCATAAATAAATACTTACGTTCATAGTTGTTTTCAACAAAAATAAAAATACGGTTATAATGTTAAATTTAGTTTTCTTAATTTATCAAATTAAATTAAATTCACTTTGTGGTATACTAACATAAATAAAATAATGTAGTTTTATCAGTACACGAAAAGAAAATTTGCGTAACTGTGCTAGATTAAAAACAGCCCTGATATACTGACACATCTTTGAACAAACATATTAACAATAGCTTTAAACTAACTCTACGAACCCATAAGCGGTTTATGTGGAATCCAATATAATGATTCACATTTAAATTATAGTAAGAGCCGTGACTAAACCCAATTTACCCATACAACCAAAATTTTTTTTGATATAGTGATTAATCCGTAAACTGAATATCTTAATAGAAGTTTTAATGTGAAGCAACGGTATCTCTGATGTAACGCAATAGAAGCCTTGGTAATATACCAATACATAATATACCAATACAATATACCAATAGAATAGTCTTGCATATCGGTCTCTGTGGTATGACATACTGTTTTATCCTTAAGCCTAACATTATGATAAAAGCCGTGCTAAAACGCAATGGACTCAATTACTTCCGATTAACAAACAAAATCGGAATTTGATATGCTGATAAGATACTGATTGCTATCTTAATAAGAATCCGGCTGTAGCGGAACAGGCTGTTATGCGATTACGTTAATTCTAATATACTGATTTATTCTTAAACCTAATATCTTAATAATAACCTTAAAGAAACGCATTTTTTGTGCTACTGTCGATAAGCTATAAACTATGTGGAATCTGATATGCTAATTTACCCATAACATAACTTAATTGCTAATTCACCTTTAACATAATTTCTTTTAATAATTTTTACATTACGAATCGTTTGTATTTTTTTATTATCTTATCGGTAATATATGCTGGTTCAGAGGAGTGTGTGTTTAATGCTTACTTCAAAACAATTCAAATACATTGTTGTTTATACATATATATGTATATATATTTATTTAATTATATCGAATACTTTTTTAAATATTAGTTATTTTAATATATAATCAATTATATATAAACTGTCATTTTTATACAAATTCACATGTCATAGTTTAAATCTATTTACTTATTAATATGAAATTTATAGTACTTTCGGTATGAGGTAAAAAGGTAAGAATTGGCCAAAATATATTTAAAAAGGTAAATGTAAAAAAAATATGATGAAAACCAAAGCGTTTAGAAAGTAAATATAAGTAAATAAATTTAAAATATTAATATAATTAACCTAACACTAAGTATTTAAGTTAACATTGCATTTATGAGTAAACCACTTAGACTGGCTTACACTATAAAATATTCACAATCGTTTTTTATAACATATATGCATGCGTCTTAAAAATAAAAAAATAATAAATTATAAATAAGAATAAAAAATATTCTAAGCACTTGAAATTATGTACAATTAAAATAATAACACATTCATTTAACACGAACTAAAGTCAATTCGCTTCTAAAGTTAATCAAAATTACTATAAAAATAATAAATTTATGCTTTTATGCTAGAGATAATGTTTGAAAATATTTTATAACATAAAATGCCTTTAATTTTTTTTTTTAAGGCCAATTACATATTTGTTTATTTCTTTTTTTGACACTACTGTAATTTAAAAAAGTTTAAACAGTCAGGAATGTTCTTGATTTGTTTTTTTTTAACTAATCATAAACTTCTATAAATTTAATTACTGAATTGTCTTCAACAATTTTTACAAAATCCTCGATTCCTTACTTAAGGTTTTAAAAAAACTTACATAGCATTTCTTTGCTCTAAGTTTGAGATACAATTGTTGAAAAGTCAAATATGAAACATTTTTAAAGAAATTGCTTAAAAATATATTTCAGTATTGAAGTTTAATATATTATAAAATTGGTAAATAAACATCAAAGTTTTGCCAATTTTTTAAAAAATAAATTTTTCCTACTCTTGATGTGTTTGAGGGGTTTTTTTATTTCTAGCCAAAGTACCGATAGCGATTGTTGTAGAGAAGATTTTAAAATTTTGAGGTACTTGACAGTATGCCACTCACACTAGACAGAGTCATCTGTAAATCAAAAAAAATGTTAATTAATTACATTTGAAATATTATGGAAATTATGAAGGAAATACGCACCATGGTACCACCACTTGGTCTTCTTTGGATTTTTGTTGCAGGTTTTGACATAGAGTGTGTTATCTGGCGGACGTTTCTTTTCGCGGCAGCTACTCAGCATGGAGGCAATACTTAAGCACACAGATTGAACTGATAACGCTGGTGACCAATCATCAGTAAGAATAGAGAGGCAAATGTGACCATTTGAATAGACGTGAGGATGAACAGGTATATTATTTCCAACAAATGTTACCTAACATATGCATTTTTTGAGAATTTTATTATTAAATCAATGTATAATAATTAATATGAAATATAAAATCAACAATTTAAATGCACTATATATATATACACTACATATTGTGTAGTATATTAACAGTTTTTATTTTTGCAATTACAGGTCCTATTCACACTAGCGACAGCTTTACGCTTGAAAATGGTTTAATTGGCTAATAATAATAGTGCTTATGAAAAAATAAATCAATTTTCGTTGACAAATACGTGGGTTAGGATGTGAATGAGTAATAGTTGTGTGAAAGGAGAGAAAATTGTAAGGCAGTACAGTTTGATTTAGGGATAGGTCAGAAAGTTTGTATGTACGTTGGAGCAAGAAATCAGATGGGCAACAATTGAAGATGTTTAATCCTACACTCCTTTCCCTCTCTTCTTCAGGAACTCTGTTTTAAACATAAACTGCTGCATGTGTAAATATGCATAAACAATTTTTTATATTTTATTTCTATATGGACTAATTGTTCAGTTAATTAAAAAATACAACACAATTATTTTTTATTTATTTTCTATTCGAAATAAACCTGTTGCCAAAGATGATAATTAAAAATATTATATTAATAAATTATTTTTTAAACAGATAATTCAGTTATTTTGGATAATCTCTGAGGAACTAATATTTCCAATTAAGGTATCATTAGTTTCTCGAAGGTTATTATCAATGATCGATTAAATATTGGTATAAAATAAAAATTAAATAACAATAAAAATATTTATCGTTTAATTAATTGACAAATAGTTTTGAGGCTCTATGCTCCACTGAGATTTAAAGGAACAAAGAAGAAGAAGAAAGAATTTATAAATTACCCGATATATAAACATAATATTAAAGATTTAACTAAAATTTATAATAACTTACCTCTGGCGAATCGAAGGGATATTTGTTATTGAATTTAAATAGAAGCTCAAAACATTCTCCTTCATACAGCGTACCCTCAAAACCAGCAATTTGTATTTTCCACCTATGGATTGTTATTATATATCAGTGTTATTTGTTATAGAGGGAATTGTTGTAAAATAATACTTACTCTGCCAAATTTTGTCCAACACTTTCCGTATCAACAGTCACGCCTGGTGGTGGTTCCTTAATTAAAGACATCAGCTCCTTGTGAAGTCGTCTCTGTAATAAAATAAAACAAACATTTTTAATTTTATATAACATATTTATATAATAAAATATATTAATATTTGTGTTATATATAATTAAAGTACAAAAAATAAGTTTTTGCATCCTATGCTTCAATACAATTTTATTCTTGTGAAATTCTTTTTTCCTTTCAGGATATCGCTTAATAAATGTCAATTATTGATTTAATTAGCAAAAATGTCGTGTGAAAGCGATTTTAGTTCTTGACAGCGATCTAAAATTTTGCTGTGTGAATAACGTATGGGGTTAAGTTAGAACTATTAATAATGGGGGATATAACAATAACACTTATTAAAAAATTAGAGAACATATTGCAATTTTATTAAAGTGATGTTGGAAAACTTGAATGGAAAAACGACTATATTCCAGAATTAATTTCATAAATTTCATGCGATTGATGTCAGTTTCGTAAGAACTAAAAGTATGTAAAATCTAGTTTCATAATAAACTGCTTAATTGAAATTTCACAGGAATACTGTGAAGGTGGTATATTGAAAAGGGCATCTGAGATAGTAAGAGAATAATTTAAACCAATATTACAAAGTTGCCGTTAAAAATGTATGAATACAAGTATCTTTTTCTGGAAAAAAATGTACTAATTCTTAGGAAAGCGAAAGGTGGAAACATTTCATGAAAGTTAAAACTCTTGAAACAAGCAATATGGAATAGAGTATACGATATGTGTTAAAAAAGGACTTAAGGAATGGTGAGATTTGAAACAGAATAAAAAAACAAACTAAATCTATAAATATTTTGTTATTTTTTTTATATAAATTAAAAATTGATTAAATACTTCTTGATTCTTCTTCTTCTTGAGTTAGTGCTATTACGCACTTTTACTCTATAATGGCTGGGGGGCTTATCTCTACCCCACACTAGGCTTTAACTGGGTTAAACAAAAAAAATCATATCATTCATAAATAAAAATCATATCAGCATATCTTCCTGAGAGTCCAGAAGTGGACTTGAGGATTATTAGGGCAGGGTTAATTAGCGTATCAACTTTAGTGAATAATTTTAGAGCTCTGTCTCTGATATATTTTTTCACTGAGTCAATCCTAAGATCTCTATGTATGTCTGTTGATCTAATATACCATGGAATCTTAAACAGTTTTCTTAAAGCCAGGTTTTGAGCTATCTGTAATTGTTTTAAGGTAGTATTTGAGGCTTTGCTATATGTAACACATTCGTACAGTAGTGCAGGTCTAATTACTTGCGTATAAAGTAACTTTCTGTTTTTAAAGTTGAAGTGATAATTATTAAATAGCGGTTTTAATAAATGTAGAACCTTAGAGCAGCTATTCCGTTTGTATTTCAAATGTTTAAGCCAATTGAACCGTTTGTCAAAAGTGACTCCCAGATATTTTATGTTATCCCCCCACTGTATCTCCGTGTCGCAAACACTCACTCCTGGAGGATGCTGTCTTCTTTTTCAAGTTATAAATATAGCCTTGGTTTTGTCATTATTAATTTTAATCTTCCATTTTTGGAAGTATTCCACCATAAGGTCTATATTTCCCTGTAAAGTGTTGCTTACATTTATGGCATCCCGATCCGAGTAGATCAAGCACGTGTCGTCTGCGTAAAGCGCCATAGACGTGGGACTAAGTATTAGAGTTCAAATGACCTACTAAGTTCTATTTAAATATCAAAATATAAAGCTCGTAAATTGCAGAATTCTTATCCTCCTGTCACTCTATACTGACTGCAAAATATTTTGTATACATTTTAATTATCATAAATAATGAACTTAATTATTGTCAAATGTTTTTTATTTTGTTTTCCATCTGCATATACTTTAAATAATCGATACGATATATCAATCATACTAGAACCTCTGTTGACAGACAGAGATATGATAATTTCACACTTGCAAAATACAAGGTTAATTTTGTATATTTAAGAACTTCATTTTATTATAAATAATTTCATAAATTGTTAAGTTTTTGTAAAGTTCTCATATATAATTTTATAACCAAAAGACGTCAGCAAAAATGTTTATAAATAATTGCAAAAGATAAGATTGTAAAAAAATGCTTAAAAAGCTAAAAATTTATGAGTTAAATGAAAATATTTTATTACTTAGAGAAAAGTGCAAAAATTAAAATGATTATTTAAAAAATTACCCCAAAATTAAAATTTATAATGATGTTTCTTAACCTTTTTCATGCCCTACAAAAGTAAATCTTCAGTTCACATAATTTGTTTCGGCTTTTTAATAATAATATATCAATCAAAACATCAGTTGAAAATAAAATAAGAATAAAATTTTTATAATTAAAGCTTTTAAAAACCAATAAATTCATTATAAAAAATGTATATATTTAAATTTATTTTGTCTCTATTTACTATATTGAAATTGAATAGAATCACAATAGTTCAGAAATTAAACTCAAATCTCAATTCAGAACTGGACCGCAACTATAACAAAATATCTCAAATTCAATTAAATTTAAAGTGCCTTTTATAAAAATACTATTGAACTATTTTTAGTAAATATGGTTCTTGAGATATCTAAAGCCGGAGATTAATGTTATACTTGAAAAATAGGACTTGATAAATGTAAAACAGAGAGCTACAGGATTAAAATATATATTTAATTACTGTATAAAATTTTTTTTATTAGTTATAATATTCTTACTGACATATAAGAGGTTTTCACTCTGCTTTGCAAAGTCAAGTCATTGCAAGATGCACGAAATGCAAAAATGCTACACTAAAATGGCGAGAGTGCGAAAACACACCTCTGCTGCATACTACATTCACATGAGAAGCAACAGATGTCAAAACATGTCTTTGCAAGCATATATACATGGGTTAAAGTATAGTAAGATTGCAAGCAATTGCAAGAAAGGTTTTACTGTCCATTGACAGCTCGCGCAGTCTGTATATGTCGTGCATCTTGCAATGAATTTGCAAGACAGAGCGAAGAACCCTATTATATATATAATGTAATATATTCTGTATACATTATTATTTATTCTATATATCCATTCTACATACATTTTAAACGTTCTTTATATATTCTTAAATATGGTGTATACATTCTCATATATATATATAATTCAATGGGACATTATTATATACGTCCTTACCATATACGTCCTTAGATATTCTATATATATTATTTGTATTAAATTGTTTTGCATTTATATATACAATAAAGATTTCCGTAGTGTCTTATACTGAATGTACTGATTTAAATAAAAGGTGTGTATTTTATTTAAAAGATATGTTATCTGACACAATTAATTAAGTATTATAATTAATATATATACATATATATAACAAATAAATAAACCCGTTCAGTCTATTAAGCCAGAAAGCTTAACATGAAATATTTGAAATAATTCGATAAAATTACAAATAAACAAGAAATATAAAAAAGTAATAAAGACAAATATAATGCGAAGTTGGTTTGAAATACAATATACATTATAAAAGAACGCTTTTGAACCTTTGTTTGAGTGCCCTGAGTGCAAAAACCGTATTTTGCAAGTATCTACGTGCTTATTTTTCTATTAATCAGTAAAAACAATGAGTTGTGTACAGTATGAACAAAATAATGTTCATACTATACTCATATAAGAGTATTGATTTTAGATAGATAAGATATCAATAACTGATTGCTAATCAGCTTTGGGAAAATTGAACTTCTAAAAATCTACAAAATATCATATTCCATGATTTAACAGTCATAGACTCAAACAATTTCAAATGAGAAAGTAAGAAATTAAAAAATATTAATTTTTTTATAATTACAATCGTATGTATGAAATATTCGTAGAATTGTTTATATTTTATTGTCCTATTTTAATTGTTTATTTTTGTCATCTGAAGACAATACAAATCTTACGCCACTAAACACAACATGGTATCATACGATTATGTCATAAATATCACAATACTATCCTTATCAGACAGTCTGTTTATTATTTTACTATCCTCTCTATCTAATTTTATCTCTATTATTTTTTTAAATACAATTATACTAACTAGCAAAGAAGCCCTAGTAGCTAAAATCGTATCGTGCCGTGATGATTAATCACCATGTTTCATTTAATTAATAAATAAATAATATTTTTATATTTATATTTAGTTTTTTTGTAATTATTACAATTTTTTTAGTATTTTTATTAGTTCTTAGTTACTATTTTTATCTATAAATTAGAATTTGATATATTATAACTGATGAGAAAAAAATAGTAGAACTTAGTTGAGTCACAAATATAATTATATTTTTCATGATTAATTTTTTTGCAATAATTAATAATTTATAACAGATATAATATGCATTTTTTAAAAGAAACTTATCTACATATATTTTATATTCAAATTTTATATATATGTATACAAATACAGATGATAGATCTATTTAAAATACTATAAAAAATAAAAATAGATTCTATTAAAAACCCATAAGGCTACAGACCTCAGACCTCCAAATGATTAAAAATTACTAATTATTATTATTTAACAAATACATAGAAATATAATGTAAGAAAAAGAAATGATATATGATTTAATTTATTTAGTATATTGTAGAATGATCAACCCACCACACACTAACTATACTAACTGTACATCAATAAAGTACCTCAGTGGGGATCTGAATAATTAATAAGTAATTAAAAATTTAATATATCTCTGATATTATTTAGATATATATTGCAGAATGATCATGTAAGAACTTTTTATCGCTATCTAATATAGTAATAATTTACTATCTCTCTTCCTCGCTTATGTTTAGCTATAAAATACTTTAAATTATATACTCAAAGAAGGGCACCACTACTATATTCTCATGTCTAAATATAAAAATAATTTTTTAATTATAAAGTTTCATTGAAAAATACTTTATAGTTTTTTGCTGAATCTTAACCTTATATTTATTTTATTTAAATATTTTTAAGAAATTTAAAAATGTTTTTTTGTTTATATAGCGTTTTTTTTTTTAAAATAATTTTTTTTTT